TGACATTTATCCAGAATGCCAAAAAGCTAATCAGATCTAGATTTTCATACTAAGAATCATCCCTGAAAATTTACAGACAAAGACTTTACAGACAAGATTTTAGGACGGAAAATCCAAAATGGCTGCCTTGACATTTACTAAGAATGCCCAACAACTAATCAGACCTAGATTTTCATACTTAGAATCATCCCTGAAAATTTGAAATTGATATACCATGAAAACGTGTAGACAAGACTTTACAGACAAGATTTTAGGACAGAAATATCCAAAATGGCCGACAATAAAAAGTGATTATTAGTTTTTGCAGATTTCTTTTTACAAAATTATCACATATAACTACTGTTAACAATAACATAGGCTTTTACAACAAAGTACACCTGAAATTATTTATAAAGCTACTAAATAGTTAAAGTATGGAAACTCAAAAACACCATTCAATATGATACAAAGTATTATTGTGCGCTAACTTTTCTTAAAACATTCAGAATGGCTGAGATGACTGATCTAACAGGTCCAAAACCTAATCAGATCTAGAATGAAGTGAGCTGAATAAGATGTTAAAGTTTTAAAAGCAACTGTGAAGCCATTTTTCTTAAAGTTTGCAGACAAGGATTTTAGCATTTGACTTCAAAATGGCCGAAAGGAAGTAGGTATCGAGTTAATTCTTTTTCATCCACATCTGTATGCACTCGTAAGTTATCCCTGAAAATTTGAAGGTGATATCTGTTGCGGTTTTGGATAAAACTGCCGGCCGTAAGGACGGACGCGCCTAGGCCGACAATATCAGAAGTACTCGTTGCCATAAGTCGTGCCCTCAAAACCCGGGTTTGCCGTTATCCAAATCCGCCTTTGCAAAAATGTGAACGGTTCATAATTAGACTTGTTAGTAGTGTGTTATTTTCAAAGAGAAAAATATAGATTTAAATAAGGGGTGTATTCGGAACTAGAAGCCCTGCTCTTCGGTCTATATTTCTTAATTCTTATATGATACGTGACGTCACAATAGCTACAACAATTGATTTATCAGTCTATATTGGAGTATGTATGACCGCTAAAATTCATAAATGATGGTTTATCATATTAGAATCGTAACAAAGACCTCATTTTATGATTTATGTCAAATATATGACCTTAAATTTTATTGTGACCATTGCCAAAGACCTCAATCGCTTACATCGTTAACAATGAACAGAATAAAATTTTAGGTCATATATCAGTATATCACGCCATAAATCATAAAATCTCTGTCTTTATTCCTTAAGTGTTTAGAAATCTCTCATTGTTATCTGGAAGTCATCTTTGTCATTCGAGAAAAATAACATTAACATTAGAAAATTAGTACCGTGGGTACTGGGCTCACATGGTGTTGCTCAAAAGTGAAAATAAAAAAAACAGATATAATTTTTTGCCGATTTTTTGTAACAAAATTATTTCGAACAACTACTCTTGACAAAGACATGGCTTTTTACAATGCAGGACACCTGAACTTATTTGTAAAGCTAGGAAATGGGCCAAAAGTGAATTTCCCGAGACAAAAATGGGGGCCATTTTGAAAATAGGCGAGATTTTGAAGCAGGAGTCACATGTTATTTTTCTTTATTGATGTTGAACAAAAATATTTTAAAACGGGAATCCTATCTACAGAGAGAGCCAAGTGTTGACAGACAGAGGTTTTAAAACTTGCCACTATTTTGGACTGACTGAGAGAGAGATGGACAAATCAATGTTAACTAAAATAAAATGACTGAAAATAAAAAAAAGGACATGATTTTTTGCTGATTTTTGTAACAAAATTATTTCATACAACTTCTCTTTAAAGTGAAATGGCTTTTTACAATGCAGGACACCTGATATTATTTGTAAAGCTAGGAAATGGGCCAAAAGTGAATTTCGCGAAACAAAAATGGCAGCCATTTTGAAAATAGTCAAGCTTTTGAACCAGGAGTCATAGGGGAGTTTTTTTGTATTAATGTTGAACGGAAATAAAAAATAACTTAAACCGGGAATCCTATCGACAGAGGTTTTAAGGCAAATGGTTCAAAAGTGGATTTCGCGAGACAGATGGTCAAATCAATGATAACTAAAATGGCTGAAAATAAAAAAATGGATATAATTTTTTGCTGATTTTTTGAAACAAAATTATTTCATACAACTACTCTTTACATTGACATGGATTTTTACAATGCAGGACACCTGAAATTATTTGTAAAGCTAGGAAATGGGTCAAAAGTGAATTTTGCGAGACAAAAATGGCGACCATTTTGAAAATAGGCGAGCTTTTGAACCAAGAGTCATAGGGGAGTTTTTTGTATTGATGTTGAACAGAAATAACTTAAAACGGGAATCCTATCGACAGAGGTTTTAAGGCAAATGGTTCAAAAGTGGATTCCGCGAGACAGATTGTCAAATCAATGTTAACTAAAATGGCTGAAAATAAAAAAATGGATATAATTTTTTGCTGATTTTTTGGAACAAAATTATTTCATACAACTACTCTTTACATTGACATGGATTTTTACAATGCAGGACACCTGAAATTATTTGTAAAGCTAGGAAATGGGTCAAAAGTGAATTTCGCGAGACAAAAATGGCTCTAGATGCAAAATAAGTTTGATTCTGATGGGGGCAGAAAAGGGGGTCTGTTGGGACGGTACCTTTCGACTTTTAAAAAATAATGTGTGTTTCAATGGATCCAAGACCAGAAACGAAGAGGATGGTGTAAGAACAACAAGATAAGGTCTACGGTCTAAAAACCTTGGTGTTCGACAATCAAAAATCCATTTATTCTCTCATTTGGCCTTATTCTTAAGTTTTCCCTCCATATGTTATAAGTTTGCCCGATTCCTTATCTAGCGCCACCTACTTTTTGTCAGTTAATCACAGGAAATTAAATAGAAATCCCCTTCTCTCATATCACGCAAATCATTTCTCCCTCGCATTTGTCTCAAATTCCAACATGGAAGAGATTCTAAGAAAATGACGTCATCGCCGTATGGACTCGACGAAACTGGGGGACAAGGTATGTATATATCAAACGCTGCTATCTTTCTTTCAGCAGGCACCCCGAAGTAAATAATTTTTTTACAGATACGTGACTTGTTATGTGATCCCTACAGTTCCCGGGATTGACAAATTTATACTATTTGGTTCTTTAATTGGTCCTTGTACTGAACAAAGTCAAGATAAATGTCATTTTTCACCACTGTTAGATAAACTTGCCCGATATTCGGAAATTTGACGTCACTCAAACACAGGGCAATGAGAATTTTTCTGTAGAAAATGACTGACCTGTCCTTCGATTTTAGAGTATTTCTGTTCCTAGCTATGAAATGGATAAAAACCCCGATAAAAACACTTGGCCATAAAACTCTGTGATTCATCAAATGTAAGTAGGCTGAATGATTTAGAAGGAATACATGAACTTCTTCAGAAAATGGACTTTTTGATTGTCGAACAGCATAGTTTTTAGAGTATAGAGATCTATATAGTCTATTTTCCGGCTAGGGTTTTACTTTTATGCTGATTTCAGAGATATTTCTTTGCTTCCCTAGCATAGGCTGAGGTTAAGTACTAGTCTAGCAGTAAACCATATAAGAATTAATTATGGTTTACTATAGTACTTAACCTCAGCCTAAGTTCCCTAGGCTACATTGAAATTACTGAGGCGCTGCGCCTCCAAACAATTTGCAGTCAAATCCGCCTCGTGGTTATTCCTTGCAACACTAACAAACCCTACACGTTGTTTCTCCACTTCAAAAGATTTAAAATAACAAAAAAATCTTACCGGGAAGTTTTTCACACGTATGCAGTGTTTTATAGAACGCATATTTCCTTGCTTCAATTACAGATTAATATGGAAGAAAAGCGAACGTTCGCTATTTCACTTGACCGAACACAAATTTATGTCGTTCGTATCGTATATGCAGAACTTTACCGAACACCCATTTATGTGGTTCATGACAGAAACGAATTGTTCGCTATTTCAAACGACAGAACGCAAATTTGTGCCGTTCCTATTTACTCCACTGCTTTCCCCCCGTTTTCGATTCGGATCAAGGAATGCACACCACAATTATTTTGCCATAAGCCGACATGAACTTATAAAATGTCCTAAAGAAAAAATATCGAATTTATGCTCAATTACCACCCTTACGTCAAAGCAAAATGTCTTATGTTCCCACTATCCCCCCCTTAGTGCCCCCCCCCCTTAGTGGGCCCAGGATTTAGGTTTAGTTTTTGGGCCCCAAAATTTTGTAGGGCCTCAAAAGTGGGGCTTTTTGTTCCCAAAATGTTGTAACTTAGTGCCTCAAAAATTCAGGGTCATTTAGGGCATCATTTGGCATTTTTAGTCCTTTTCGGCCATTTTATCAAAATAGGCATTTTCAACTTTTCAAAGCTTGGGAAATAGGGGCCCAAATAAATTTCCAGACTCAAAGTCTGACCCCCTTGTTAATTGCTAGATCCGCCTCATTACTAACAAATATAAAATGTTGCACTGTCACGCTGTACTGGAGAGGTTAAGCTACCGTATAAATCCAAAACGCAACTTAAACGTATCAATCGCCCCTATACAAATACACGTAGAGTTCACACATAAATAGCCGTTCAGCTCTAGTGTTTGTTTAGACTACACCGTAGCTTTTTAATGATTACATAGTACTGTCATTGATGCAGTTCTATAGCTGGTTTTCTAATACATATTTTAAACGAGCTCGTTTCGTAAGAATATTGGAGTTAAATCATGCATAACATACATCATCTTCTTCAGAAAGAATTATACTCTGCATCGAAATCAAAATTGCAAGGATAGTATTCAACAGACATGAGTATAATGATTCCCGTTGATAGCAACGTGAAATTTAAAATCTCCCGTTCTAAACACGCAACTTTGAAGTTGAACGGGTATCTGAAGTAGACTAAAGCGATACAATCCCAATGTACTTTGCGTTTCCGTATACGTTTTGAAAAACCGTATTTGCTTAACCTCTCCACTAACTCACCGGGACGTATCGAAACCAAAACGCCCCGCAAAACCGTTAATTTGAATTTCAAATCTACCCTGTCTTTGGAAAATCAATGACTGCGAGTCTCACAGTACGCCGTTTTTCTTCAAACTTGTTCCATTAAAACCTTCATAGAAACATCTTTCAGTCGAGACATTGCTTTTGTTTCCAAAGTCCCTCGTTTTAGCGGCGTTTTGGTCCCCAGATGTGAGAAGTGGGAGATGTGGGATTTTTTTGTTTTCACATTTTTTCGCGGCCTGTAACTGGGTCCCTGTAAATTTGTAAAACCTTAACGGAAAGTCATGAATTTTTTTAATGTTTGTACAGAAATTGATAAATAGTGCCTGGGTAACATTTCGCTCCAATCCATCGAGAAATGATGATCCCCAGAGATCATGGTCCCCTTTCTTAACGGCCCTTACTGGCCCTGATTGTGTATAAGATAATGAGGGAGAGTTGTATTTAGGTCACCATATAAATCAATGGAGAGTAGGACCATAATTTGATAGGACCTCCTACACTTTTACACCGGACGAGTGAGTGTTTTGCTCAATATTGTATTCAAATTTGAACAAAATACTCAATCGGCCGGGCGCCGAAAGGGTTGAAAATCGGGGCAAATGTGACCAAGGCATTATGCATTTTTCCAGGGGCATTTTTTATCAGGGCTCCCTTGGAGACCCATTAGAACTGTGCTTTATTACTATCCTTAGGAGTCTCCATTGGTCCTATTTTGATCATTTGCATATCATATTTTTTCAAAAAACATATGGGTCTAGCCCTTCAAAATGATACATCAATTACTGTGGCTTGCTACGTTTTCCTGTATCTAGATTCATTTAGGGGAAAGCGGGGCAAGACGGACACCCTAAGAGCAGTCATTTTAACAGCTTAATTGTAACGATATTTAGCTAGAGTTTCTGTCCGCTGAATCAGGCCTGTCAACTTGGGAACACCAAACATGAGTGACTTACAATTTTGGTCCAAATCTGAACGCCTTGGCCACATTTTGAGGACCTTGTTTCAAATTTTATTGCATGTAACCAAAATTTTGACACCTCAAAAGTCAAAATTCTCGCGCTTGCTTTGTTTGCGATCTGTCAACAGGATTATGAAATTTTTCAAGGAAAATACGAAACATATAGACCTAAGGAAAAAATGCTCTCGTTTTTTTCGGCGTACGGTTTTGTGCAGTATCGGCGATCATTTTTTGGAAGTTTACTACAGGAATATTTTTGCTGGACAATAATCAGGTAAAATGCGTATTTTGCGTATTATGCGTATATTTGCGTGACATATTCTGTCACGCAAAAAATCTGGCGTGACAAATACGCAAATTGCGGAACAGTTGGCCTGGCTGAACCCATGTTTATTAAGAAACGGAACATCGGTTCTCTGAGATACAATAAGCATAGTATTGATTTTGAAATAAATTTTTGAATTGCTAATATGCCCCTCATTTTTGAAAAATGATTTTGTGTGGTACTGGGGCAAGAAGGGCCACCGTGAGGCAAGAATGGCCGTTTTATCAGAAACCTTCTTTAAATTGTAGGTTTTTCCAAATTGTCTTGTACAGATATAGGGCACAAAGGGCCACTTTTTACCCCGCTGTCCCCTACGTTGTATTTTTTCATTTTTCCAAAAGGTGACTAGTCACTACTAACTTTCAGAAAATTAAGTTGACAATGAATATCTTACAAACTCGCGGCGATACTTACTGGGTACACAGTGGAGGGGGGGGGAGATTTCCCAAATACGAGCAATGGTATTGTTGCGCAGCTCCGAGAGAGCAAAAGTTCATTCTTGATCATATGTGGCAATCTGATTGGGCATGGGTGTGATTTAAGGTCAAGTAAATAATAAACAAGAAAATTTCGTTTTTTATACATTTTACAAATCAAATCTTCTCACAAGTCTTCTCTAGGCACATAAGTGCACTCTTTGTGCAAACCTGGAAGATGTAGACAATGTGGGGAAGGAGCGATCCTTGTTTGAAAAATAACATGTGACTCAATTGAGGGATGCAGAAAATTTCCCATCATGCACCCTGACCTTAAATAAATGTTCATGAATACGAAAGAATATGAAAGAATTACAGGAGCTAGATCTACTCACTTTTTACCCTAAATTAAAATTTCGGGTCATTGGCCCAACATTTTGTTTGACATAAAATTTAATAAAAATAGGTCCCAAAAGGCCAAGTAATAATTACAAAAAGCCCCCTTATTGGGGATTACAAAATTTGGGCGTCCATCCTGCCAAGAGGAGGGGGTTGCCCCCTTAGCCCCTCATAATTAGATTAAAAAACATGTTACCATGGCCATGTAAATGATATATGGGAGTATATACAAATGACAAATGTACAAATGAAAATGAAGGCATGTTTGTATTTCCTTGCTTTTTTCAGGAAAGTATCATTGTACATTGTCTTCTCTAAGTAAACGAAGTGGTCAATGGGAATTCAGTGTTATTGAGAAACTTGGAGAGGAAATTTGTAAAATTGAAAAGGCGGCCATTTTGAATGACTTTTCTTGAAATATTAGCATTTCCTGGAGTTGCCATTGATCTGTAACCAGGTTTACTAAAAGAATTAGGTTTACTAAAAATATATTTTTCTATATTATGGCACAATTTAGTCGTATGATTTCTTATTTCTCAGGTTCAACTCCTTCCCGGGAACTCCTTACCCTTGAAGCATTGTAATAGACTGTATAATGAGGCATCAAAATTCCAATCGTATACTTACATCAAACTTGTACGAAGATCTCGTGTTCTCCGCTGTTCTTCAAGTCGTTGTTATCGTTACTGTTGGGTAGTTACAAACTTTCTCGACATTTTGAAATTTCTTTACTTGAAGGAGACATCGCTCCTCCAAAATGAATGTTCAGTTTTAGTTTGTTATCAGGTAAATAAATGTTTCTTGTAAACTAAAGCTAAAATAAACTATATTGACCCACACGTGGGAAAGCTCAGAACGAATGTACGTGTCGCACAAGCATGTATTCATGGGGCCGTATAAACTGCAGTCAGATTCCAGTTGTTGCTACACTTAATTAGCTACATTATGATGAATTTTATCCAATAAGCACAAGGTAGCTCGGAGCCTTGTTGCAGTTTGCACACTTCGTTTATGCATGACTACTGGGGATCAACAGAAAACGAAAACACAATGTCTTTGGTTCAACATGGCCGGTGTAAAAGGGTAGGAGGTCCTCTCAAATTATGGTCCTACTCTCCATTGTCAACAGTCAAGTCAACAGTTAGTTTTCGAATACAAAACACGCCAGAAATGAACACGATATACTATTCTAAGCGCATTTCGAAAATTTTGAGGCCACCAAAAGTTGTCGATTTTGACCAATCAGAGACGTGGGTTATCTCAATACCGTATAGATTTACATTATAAGCGTAGGTCATCATTGAACTCTGGGATTATTTCCCCTATTGTTTTAACTGATTTGAAATCATATTTCGAAACCTGAATCTACGCACTAAATACGTGTCAACTTTTTAGCTCAAATTTCGAGGATGTATTTTTTAGTGATTAAATCGTATCGTGAAAACAAAAAATCTTATCAAATTCTGATTTCCGGGAAATTCAGCCATTTTGCAACGAACACACCATCCCTTCCTTTTCAGTTCCAGGAGTTCGTGCAACAACTTACAACAACTCAGCATCAACTCATATCGCCTGTTCCATTTCCACGACGCATTTTAGAAATAATTTGTAAGCTTATAAATACGCTCAAACATCAAACGCACTTAAATCTAAATTATGCGAAGTGAACTGAACAGGAATAATAGATGGCATATGTATGTAAATCTCTATCATTTTTACATATCACAGATACACTGAATGTGATCCCCACCTGGTTATAAAGACATTACGTTTTTATAACAAAATGGATGTACTACAATAGTTCTTGCCTAGACATTTTAGGTTTTTGTAAAGAACAGAGTGTTGAGGAAATCATATTGAACGAAAAATGGATCTTGCGAAATAATTACGCTTTCGCTTTCTAATTAATCAAATCTGAAAGTACTCTAATAACGAAAGTGAAAGTATTTGGCCGTTGTTAGGAATTCCTCAAAACAAGTGTCAGAATGAATGTCACCATACCATCCAATCCCATATTGATGACGTAATACGTGTAGCCCGCTTTGGGAAAATAAAATATAACGTGACACCATTATGCTAAGAACGATAGCTTTGGAGAAACCCCCAAACTGTTAGTGGATATCCCAAATTATTTCACATTTATATACCGAATTAACTCTAACTAGTGTAAAATAGGCGTTCTTTCATCATATTGCAATCGATTCCTCATATTAATACACATATATGACAACAATAAAGTATAATGCTTTCAAATCTAAATAAGTCCAAAAACGTCAATGGTATCGCCTCTTATTAAATACACAGGACGAAACGTTCTGAAAATTGCTAAAAGTAGGGGTCATTGTAACAGCTCCCACTCCGCATGCCCGTAGCCAGGGTTTCCAAAGGGGGGTTCATTTTTCATAAATTTCCAGGGGGGGGGGTTCACATTTGACACTTTTGGCCCAAATATGGCTAAAATCACATGAGAAGGGCTCAAAATGGTGAAAAACTGCATGATTTTGAAAGAATTTTTGGCCAGGGGGGGTTCGCCCGAACCCTGCGAACCCCCCCCCCCCCTGGCTACGGGCCTGCTCCGTCAATATTTTATCAATTTACATTTTCCTCACATTGATTGAAAGATGAATATCCACTCTAAATGTATAGATCACGTTCTCAACTTTTCAGTTACATTCTCAACTAACCCCCCTAATGTCTGTATGTCATTTATACCTTATGCCTAAGGTCAGTGTATTGAAGTTATCAATGATAAGACCTTAGGCCTAAGGTCAGGAAATATGACTAAACCAATCATTATTGAGACCTTAGGCCTAAGGTCATGTAAACGGTATATACACGTATATCGACGAGACCTTAGGCCTAAGGTCGGGTGTATATAGTGATAATGGAATCTCTCAGATAAGCCTTAATTAAGCTGTTTCCTCCTGTTCATCCTCCAATTGTTTTGATGAGTTTAAATGATAAAATACATATTCCTGCATACGTTTTCACTTGTTGAGCACTTGTCAACATTACCATTTACTTATTATTGAGGGATTTAACAGGGGTCCACAAAAAATGAAAAATATTAGATTTTGATAATTTTGAAGTTTACAACAGATTATCTACTTATGAATTGGTTTTTTGGGATGGTTATTAGCATGACATATTGATTTTATCTGTTTAATTGAAAATAAAATCACCTGTCTGACTATATTTTGCATTTAAAATGATTAAAATTAATTGTTCCGTTTAGTTCACTTTCTTTTAACGTCATCTTGTTTTTGTTGATCCGCCAATTGTTTTGATATGTTTAAATG